TTCTCTTGAAATAGTCTCTCTGTTGGGTTGTAGATAAAGTGGCACAGTGTATTCTTTAAGTTTAAAGTAATTTTTTCTTTTATTTGTAGTCTAAGCCTTGTACAGAGCTGGATATGCTGCAAAAAAATCAATTTATGTTTAGGTATCTGAATAGGAAAGCAGATTTTTTTTTAAAAAAAAACCTCAAAACCTGGTAGGTTTCAATTTTTCTACTGTGTTGAAGCCGTGAACTTAACAAATGTCAGATATATTTAAATGAGAGGGAGGGAATCTGCTCAGGGCTGTTTCTGCAGCAGCCATTTTTTAATTTGTCCTCATGTGCTAGATCTGTAATCTTTGCTCTGATTTTTCTCCAAGAGTGTCAAGGAGTAAGGACAGATTATCCTGCAATTTATTTTTTTTCCTGACAGGAAATCAATGTAGCTTACTAGCTTTTCCTCCCCATTGCTAGACTGTATACCTGCAGCTCCTAATGAATAGTTTTTCATGTTCAGTGACTTTGTTATTGTCAATGCCAAAGCCTTTTCTCTGTCTCTTCCTTGTCTTGTTTAGTAAAGGAATATAACATTTCCTGGGGAGAGATGCATCTCGCAGAAAACTCTGCCATTCTACTAGAGGCCTGGTGGGAGAATCTTCTGACTTACCACCTCTGCTTCAACCTTGGAAATCTTACAAGCCTCTCTGAGCACTTTATCGATCTCATAGTCACCATGTCTTCTGAGGAGAATTTTGAGTGTCACCTTAGCCATCACAAAAGTGTGAATCAACTTCTTTTACTCAAGCATCTCAATCCTATATTCCTGCTTCAGAGAACTCTATATTTTTTTCAGTTGTGGTGCAGCTAAGGACTGACTTCAATGCAAAGACAAAGGGCATGCAAAGTGTTAAAGGGGTCCTGTGGGAAACCTTGATGGGTGCTGCTCTCTGAAAGTCATGCTTGCATGTGTGGGTCACATTAATGCAGACAGTTGTGTCTATACCAGCAGCCACCCATGGGTTTCACTAATTGTGACTAAAGATAACCTTTTCCCATAATAATTAGAGTATGTGGATGAACAGATCTGCAGTTCATGTGGTGGGAATGCTCCAGGGCGAGGAACGCAGGAGTGTATGTTGGGGGTAGCGGCCTTGTCTGTTGTCTGGGGTCTGCTCCCTCTTTTTTGGCTTGCTTTGAGCTTGAGATAAAGTTGGCTGAGTTCTGGGAGGGAGCAAGTTGACTGTATGGCATAGGACAGTGGTAGGCCTTAAAAAATAGATTACCTACGTGTGCTAGGCAGAACAAAAGGTAGAGGAAAAACATGTGTCTGCAATCGTTTTGCTGCAATCAAGGTGCACAGGAACGGACACACAAATGGTAATTCCAGTAAGTTTTAGTTGCAGCAAGCTTGGTCTGCCAGCCTGTTTCTACTGTGTGTGTGTAGAGCATGGAAAAGCTTTCAGCTATTTCTAAATGCCCACTTCTGACTTTGCTTTTTAGAGCCAGGGTAGCTCTACTCCCATTGTCCATGGTCCAGCAGGATTTTGGGTAGCAAGGAGAGGCCCAAACTCTGTTCCACCTAACAAGCAGGCCCTGAATTCCTCAGAGGAGGAGGAAGAAGAAACAAGTGAAAATGGTGAGTTCTTAAAGGATTAGTGGTGAAAAGACAGGTTTAGAAGATCTTCAGTGTGCTTTTTATTGTCAAAGTAGGTTCCTTACGTCTCCTAAATACTTTTTAATTGTGAGCTTTGAACGTGCGTGTGAGAACGTTCTTTTTCTTCACTGTCTGATAGAAATATGTCACTTCTGCTTAAGCTTGCTATGCCATCACCCTTGTGATTGTGTAGGTCTGTAGCAAGCCAAGTTGCATAAAAATGCATGGTGTAAATTTGGTAATGGCAACCTTGATATTTGGTGGAATAACAAAATGAACATATCTTGAGTGTTTCTCTACCTTTTCTGCACAAAACAAGATGATACTGAAAGCAGCTCATTAATGGATGCACTGAAACGTAACTGTGGTAACTTCAGCTTTAAGCTTTTATGGCCCCCCCGAATCAAAGCTTCCTGTTCTCTCGCTTGTAGGGA